ACCTCACCCCTGCTCACAGGTGACTCCACAGTGGTCTCATCGCCCTCCCTGCTGTCCACACCACCTCACCCCTGCTCACAGGTGACTCCACAGTGTCTCTCAGCGCCCTCCCTGCCGCCCTTCCCTCAGTATCTATGTTTATTTACATCCCCAGATGCAGAGTCAGGGTTTGGATAACTTCAGAGGCACCCCACCACCCCAGGGGTATTTCCGGCCTTAGAATACAGGCAGCTAGATTAGTGGGTTCTTTTTTGAACTGTTGAGATGTGCAAACTTGGGATATTTATGTCTGCCGCAGCCGCACGGGGCGTTTTCCTCCCACGCCTTCTTCAGTACGGTCCTTGGAAAACTACAAGGCTGTCTGTTTAGTCCCAACGACAGCATTTCTGGAAAACTTTCCTGGTTCTGTGGGAGCAGTGTGGTGACGCCCTCTGTGGACAAGCCGCAGCAGCGGCCCTGCGGCGTGATGACGCACGTGTTACCGCGTCAGCGCCCGGGCGCCCCTCTCAGGTGTGGCTGTACGTCCCGCAGGTGCGCCAGGTGTTCTGTGCAGTGCAGCTCCCGCGGTCAGTGTGGACCCCTGCAAGTGCAGGCATTCACACAAGCCAGAGAGCTAGTGTCAGTGTGGTCCACGAGAAACAGACCACAGCTTTTGCAGGGAGCGCTCTGAGTTAAACAATGCAGTTGTTTCCCACTTCAGAAAATTTTCTTTAAACAGTTTCATAGTATGTGGTGTCAGCATCGCAGCTTTTGGAAAAGCTTTGGCTTGTCTGACACAACACACACTAACACCCAACAACTAGGAAGTAACAATACCCCTGTCCTTTATGGCAAGCGGGGAAATAATGTTGCAACCAACAGGTAGAATTGACCTCATTATGAAGAGGTAGAGGAGTCACATCTAAGTGGAACCCTGACAGAGGGGGGCCTGTCCTGCTCAGACCCAGGATGTTTATTCAGGAATGTGGCTCTGCTTGCTAGGCTGCATAGTTTTTCAGCTTAGCTTTCTGGACAGCATTTGAATTACTGACATGCTATATCCCATCTTCTGCATTTCTTGCAGTTTCTAAATACTAAAGTTGGTCACTCACACTGGGTTTTCACCAGTGTCGGTAGGTACACCCCATCACACTACCTTTGTGGTGCCACGCCTATAAGATAGCTTTATTTCTGTTCCTTTTTCAAACAAGGAAACAAAAAAACAGTTGTCATTGAGTCACCTCTGATTCATGGTGACCCCATGTGTGTCAGAGTAAAGCTGTGTTCCATAGGGTTTTCCATGGCTGATTTTTCAGAAGTACGATTGCCAGGCCTTTCTTCTGAGGCACCTCCAGGTGGACTCGAACTGCTAGCCTTTTGGTTAGTAGCCACGTGCTGCTAACTCAGGGCTCCTTGTCCCTCTTTAAACCCATTGCCATCAAGTCAATTCCGACTCACAGCCACCCTATAGGACAGAGTAGAACTGCCCCTTAGGGTTTCCAAGGAGCGGCTGGTAGATTGGAACTGCTGACCTTTTGGTTAGCAGCCAAATGCTTAACTACTGCACCACCAGGGCTCCTGTCCATCTTTAGCAGGTGAGACCAGGACGTAAGAGCCTTTGACTCGTCCAGAACTAGTGTATGACTGACAGTGCTGACAGCCGTGGCTTCCCAGGCCAGGCTCGCTCTGAGTCCCTTCTTGGGGACGTGCCCTTCACGCCACGGGCTTGGTGAATGTTTGTGCATGCAGTATTCATCAAGCCCACCCCTACTCAGGGACTGAATCTGGTCAAGGTCTCTTCTGGGAAGAGACCCTTCTGGTGGGAGAGGCAGGTAAGGGGAATCTGGGCTCTGCTCTCCGGCCAGATGGCTCTTAACGATTGCATGATAAAATGTGCAGCTTCCTGCTTCTGTCCTCGCGCCACTACAGTGCCCTTTCTGTTTTTAAGGAAAGAAGGATTGTCCAAATGTGGAAGATGCAAGCAGGCATTTTACTGCAATGCGGAGTGTCAGGTAGGTGCCGGGCCACCTGGTAGGGAGGGCCTGATTTCCCCTGAAGACGGGGACCCCAACGTCCCCTCTTCCTTGTCCCGGCATTCCCTAGCGCCCTGTCGCAGCCACAGCGGGAAAGCTCAGTGGTGGTGTCGGGTGTGTGCGGACCCACAACCCACAGGCAGCTGGTGATGGGCAGTGACAGGTCGGGGCCACATGCAGGACCAGAGTAGGGGCAGGAGTGGGGGAAACGTAAGGAGAGCCTGTTAGCTACAGAAGGTCTTTACCAGGGTTGACAGCTTGCCGCCAGGGATGCCAGCAAGAGGTAGAAAATGCAGAGATGACAAATGCAACATGTTAAAATGCTACCTTTTAAAATTAAAAAAAAGTATTGTCACAGGTCTGTCTTTTCATGAATCCACACCTCCCCTTGGGCTGTTTGAACCCAGCCTGATGGCAGCTAGACTTAGATGACCCTTGGCATAGTCTTTACATAGCCAGAGGGTGGGTGCACCCTGGACCCGGTGGGCCTGGACCCGATGCCTCGGAAGCAGCCATGCAGAAGGGGCCCAGCAGGCCGGTGGCCGTCGACCACACACCATGCTCTGGATGGCTGAGTCTCCAGCGAATCCTGTAACAGGAAGCACAGGCTTGAGGAGTTCGGAGGAGGTCGTGCTAGGCTCTTGGAGGGACAAGGAGCGATGTTTCCCAAACTATTCTAGATGCTAGTTCCATAAAATGTTCGTAAGTGTTCTACAGAAAATAAGTTCCATGTTCAAACAAGTTAGGGGAACATGGTCTCTTTCCTTCATCACCTTCGAGAGTCTTTAATGTACTAATGTGCGTTAGGAAGTCCTAAGCATTTTTATTTGCTCTTTGTACACCCTACCCAGCCTTTTTTTTTTTTCTCTCTCTCTCTTGTAAGGAAACCTATTAGTACAGTGGGAAATGCTGGTGCAGGGTAAGGATGGCTGCAAGTGACAAGCGTCTTCTCCTGTCTGTGCCTTGTTTGTTGCTGTTCTGCCATATCCAGCATCTTCTCCTCTCCCCTCCCCAAACCATCCACTTCTGATCTCCTACCATTTCCTTTTTCTTCCACTCCTCTTTTCTCATCATCCCCCTACGTCTTTGGCCCCAAAAGGCCCCCCAAACCCGTTGTCCTTGAGTCGATTCTGACTCGTAGTGACCTTATAGGACAGAGTAGAACTGCCCCAGAGGATTTCTGAGGAGTGGCTGGTGGATTCAAACGGCCAGCCTTTTGGTTAGCAGCCTGAGCTCATAACCACTGTGCCACTAGAGCTCCCCAGAGGGCATCATTTAGAGGCGTGTCATCGGACTGTTGGGCTCCCGTCACGGTGACCCCTCACCAGAAGGAAGGTCGGCTGAGGCATGGCTGGGAAATTCAGACCTCTCTGTCCCTTGGCCCAGAAGACCTTCAACACGGTTCGCCTCCGTGTGCCTCCCCAGGGCAGGCTTCCACAGGTTGTCAGCCGTGTCACCGTGAGACCATACGTGGGGCTTGTTGTTGACTTACCAGGGAGTGTGCCTTCTTTGAAGAGAAGAGATCATGCGTTGTTCCTACCATTTGTGGATAGAGTATCAGTGGTTAGACTGTAGAGCTCAGCAGGCCCCAAGAAGGTCTGGGACATGATCTGGGACCAGGCCTGTCAGGTAATCTAGGTGTTTCTATGCCTAAGTTAAACACTTCTAGAAAAATTAACTCATTAAGTCCTGCCTTAATGAACCTTAATGATCCTTAGAGAAGCAAGCATAGTAAATCGGATATAGTTCTGACGACAGAGCATGGACTAGCAGGAAGACATGGTCCCAGCTCTGCTACTTACTGACTCTGTGAACTCAGCAAGTCCGGAACTTCTCTTAATTTCTGCTTCTTCAAGTGTAAATTGAGGAAAAGAGTGCCCAGCTTGGCAAGTTGTCAGGCTCAAGTGATGGGGCAGATAGGAAGGTTCTGTGTAAACCATGAAGTTCTGTACAGATGTGGAGCGTTATTATAAATGACAATACTGTAGCCTAAAGTGGAAATCAGGCTGGACTGGAGCAAAGCTTTCTGCAAAGAATAAACAGCAGACTTTGGGTTTAAGGGCCTGTTCTTTTAATTTAAGGGAATGGATGCATCCTAAGAGCCTGAAGACAGGAATGGCGGACGTTTGTGTAAGCAAACCTGTTACAGAGTGAGTCTTAACTGTTCTGGTTAGCTGCGAACGCTTCCTTAATACGGAGGATCAGAATGTTGAGCTGCGGAGGGAGGTACTTCTTGGTCACCCCAGCAGGTGAGCTGCTAAGCTGCTTTCCATTAGGCCTCACAAGGTGCCCCCAGAACCGATTCTCCCAGACTTGCAGACTCAGAAACCTCATTTATTAGCACACAGTGAGGGGGCCCTCCCCTGGGGGAGGGTTCACGTTAACCAAATATACCAACTTGTATGTACTAGAAACCAAAACCAAACCACCACGGTCAAGTGGATTCCTACTCATAGTGACCCTATAGGACAGAGTAGAACTGCCCTATAGATTTTCCAAGGCTGCAATCTTTACGGAAGCAGACTGCCACGTCTTTCTTCTGCAGAGCAGTTGGTGGGTTCAAACCACCAACCTTTTGGTTAGCAGCTGAGCACTGTAATCACTGTACCACCAGAATGTCTGTTTATTACTTTATCGCAAGCAGTTTGACAGTCTGCATGTTAGGGTTCAAATTATCATGAGAAGATTTCTGGGGTGGCAAGGACCCTCAGAATAGTAGAAACAGTTATGTGATGATTCTGTTCAGAGGCCTCAGGCCAGGACAGCGTGGTAGGTCCAGCCTCCTGATAGACACTGCTCACCCAGTTCGGGGGCCAGGCACCTCGGCCCTGGAGAGCACTTCGGCGATTTCATTTTTCTCTGCTTGTGTTACCTGTCCAGTGACTGCAGTGCCCTCCTGAATTATGGGAGATGACACAACTCCCAATGCCCCTTATTTCCAGAGGAAGGAGGCTGGGTGTGACCTCTCAGTGTCATTTTTATTGCATCTGTATCCTGTTGCTGAAGGAAGAGGCTAATGGCCATTAAGGTTTTTGCATCCTTTAATCCTGCAGAACTGAATAAATGGAGACACCATATTATAGTGAGATGTGGTGTTTTTGTCAGGTGCTGTCCAGTCGGCTCCAACCCATAGTGACTCCATGTACAACGACCCCGTGTACAACAGAAGGAAACACTGCCTGGTCCTGCACCATCCTCACGATCGTTGTTATGCTTGAGCCCTTTGTTGCAGCCACTGTGTCAATCCATCTCGTTGAGGGTCTTCCTCTTTTTTGCTGACCCTCTACTTTACTAAGCATGATGTCCTCTGATCCCTTCTGATAACATGTCCAAAGTATGTGAGACGAAGCCTCACCATCCTTGCTTCTAAGGAGCATTCTGGCTGCACTTCTTCCAAGACAGATAGTGAGATAGAGCAGCCATAAAGGTTAAAAAAAAAAAAAAGTAAATGGCTAGAAATAGGAGGAGGTACAAGGGCTTCATACATGGAATCACTAGGAGGAGTCAACATTTGCTCCAGATAAAAATATATTCAGGGTTGAGCTTAAGGGAATGCTTGGATAGAATCAAAGGAGAGGATAAAAGGTGTCACACAGAAAGGCAGTGATGAAGGTAGAGTGATTCTCCACCTAAGAAAGCATGGTGCTCATCTGCTAGGAATTAACTGGGCCTTATTCAAAGCAGGACTGCACCCACCTGCAGTTCTTGGTGCTCAGGACCATACAGCAGATGGTTGACTTGGAACAGGTTATCTAGATAAGAAACCAGTGTTCACAGTGGTTCGGTGACCTGCCCAAGGTCACACAGTGGCAGAACTGGACTAGACTTGTACAGACTGCTAGGGAGTGCTCTCAGCACCTTACAACACTGTGCGTGGGAGTATCGAGGGCCCTATAGGACAGCAGGCACCATTCAGGGATGGGTTACCCAATAAGCAAGATACCACCAAACCAAACCTGTTGCTGTCGAGTTGATTCCGACTCATAGTGATCCTGTAGGACAGAGTAGAACTGCCCCATAAAGTATCCAAGGAGGGGCTGGTGGATTTGAACTGCCAACCTTTTGGTTGGCAACCGAGCTCTTAACCGCTGCGCCACTAGGGCTCCAAGCAAGGTACACACTGGCCGGATTGTGCCTCCCTACCAGTCTGCAGTGCACAATCTCACCTGTCCCCCTCCCACGTTGATGATGTGGTGACACCCATGTGAAACTGCTCACCACAGATTAGCAAGTCAGTACAGTTAAGCCTTGCATACCGTGCTTAGTGCAAGCGGGTGCGTGCTGTGCTGACTGGTTAGTCCCCCCCCGTATGGGAATATGTCAGAGAGATGGAAGTGGCCTTTGATGGATGTGAAAGAGAAGAGCCTCCCCCAGCGCCCTTGTCTTTGCCGAAAACGCCTCCAGGGGCCCTAAGACCCGCTTTTCCCCCTCAGAGTCTCCTCTTCCCACCGCACAGGGCACCTTAGGAAATCCCAGGCCCCGGGTGCTCTCCTCAAGCCCGCGGTGCATTAGGGTTCTCTTTATCTCTCACAGTTGGGTTCTGTCTTGTTCCGTTTACTTCCCTCTGTGTTCCCTTGTCTCAGTGGGGTCCTGCCAGAGGAGAGATCTTAACTGACAGTGTCTAGACGGATAAAGGGGGGACATGGAGAAGAAACAGAGATGTCCTTTGTGGTGAGGCGTAGTATCCTGTGACCTGTGTGCTTTAATGAAGTCTATTTACTTTTATAAAGATGCCCGGAAAGTTAAATACATTGTTCAGTCACTTAGACTTACTCGTAAAGTTATACCATGTCATGTTTAAGAGGATAGTTTTAGAATGTTATCGTATAGAGTGATCATTGTGCAGTAGAACTTTCTGGGGCATATCTCTCAACTGTAACAAAGAGAAAAAAACCTGTTTTTGTTAAGCAAATGGAGGTGATGGGGTTATGAGTGTGCTTTTGAAAGTCGGAAGAGGCATCCCTTGATGGGGCTAAAAAGAGTGTGTGTGAAAGACTAAAGATATGGGAAGATTCTAGATGTTTGTCGTTGGCTAAAAAAATAAGTGTAGAAAATATTTAATAAAGGCTTACCTGACCATGTCATCTTGGTGGGTGGTTAGTGAGTGCGACCTGAGTCACGTGTTCAGTCGTGGTTAAAGTCACTGATCTCTTCATCCAGCCTTCAGAAGCATCTCAGATTTGGACCACTCTTTTTTCTCCATGTTTAACGTCACCATCAGGGAAAAAGCAAGTGTGAGTGACTGAGTGCAGCTGATCACTCTTTCCTGGGAATATAAAACCCAGCCTGTGTCCTAGTGATGGTTCAGCCACATCGGCCGTCTTTGTGTGAGGTGGTCAGCATGCACTTGATTTCTTCTGCCCTATTCCTCTTGAAGATGGTGGTAGTGGTACTTCAGGAATCTTATGACATTTTCTTACCGTTCTGCATTTTGAGAAATCACCCATACACATATATAAGTAGACTATGCTTGTTTGAAAAGCTCCAGGAGAGCAACGTTGTTGTTAGGTGCTGTCGAGTTGGTTCCGACTCATCGTTACCCCGTGTACCACAGAACGAAACACTGCCCAGTCCTGTGTCATCCTCACAATCCTTGTTATGCTTGAGCCCATTCTTGCAGCCCCTGTGTCAGTCCACTTTTTGCTTACCCTCTACCTTTTTTTCTCTCTCTCTTCTTTTTTTTTTTATTGTTCTTTAAGTGAAAGTTTACAATTCAAGTTAGTCTTTCATACAAAAATTTATACATACATTGTTATGTGACCCTAGTTGCTCTCCCTGTACTGTGACAGCACACTCCTCCTTTCCGCCTCTGATTTCCTGTGTCCATTCAACCAGCCCCTGACCCTCTCTGCCTTCTCATCTCGCCTCTGGACAGGAGCTGCCTGTTTAGTCTCATGTATCTACTTGAGCTCAGAAGCACACTCTTCACGAGTATCCTTGTATGTCCCATAGTCCAGTCTTATCTTTGTCTGAAGAGTTACCAAGCATGATGTCTTTCTCCAGGGACTGATCCCTCCTGATAATATGTCCAAAGTATGTGAGACATAGTCTCGCCATTCTTGCTTCTAAGGAGCATTCTGGCTGTACTTCTTCCAAGACAGATTTATTTGTTCTTCTGGCAGTCCATGCTATATTCAATATTCTTCGCCAACACCATAATTCAAAGGCATCGATTAGAAATACCAACTGCTAGAGTTAGAAAAGTGAGTTTCATGATAAAATCCAGTCTCCTTATCCAGAAAGGCAACATACCATTTCGTTAGCAGAAAACTGGATAACATAACACTCACTCTTTTCTTTCAGTGTTGGAAATGTGATGTGTCATGAGATAATTTTGCAAGTTTGTATGTATCTTTAAGCATTTTCATTCATGCACAGAATAAAAGTCCTTCAGAGTAGTTATTCCACTGGCCAAAAAGGAATTAAAAGTTTCAAAAGAGGATCATCCATGCTGAAAATTCCATATCTTACTTCCATATAGATTTGATGACTTAAGTTGATTACCAGAAAGTCTGTGCTCATTCCAGAAAAACCAGAAAGGACAGAAGAGCATTTACAAAAGAAGAACAGAAAGCTGCTTTCCTGCCGAGAGCACCACTAGGAACACGTTGGTGTATGCCTTTCTCATCCTTGCTGGGCATTTCTTTGTCTATTTCTTTACTGGAAAATGGAATCCTAGTTTTCATAAAATTTTATAAAGATTTAGTCAGGGAAAGAGTAATAGATTGCATTTTGAAGAAAATAATAGAAAAGGTTTTAGAAAAACTGAAAAAAAAGTTTTAAAAAGTATAAAGGGTTGTAAAATCATTCTGTGTACTCCCAAACTATCAATACTCACAAACAAAAGAAAACTATCCATTCATTCCTATTCATCAGATTAGCCTATTTTTTTTTTCTTTTTCAGTTTTGTTCAGTCTGGTTGTTTATCATTTCTTACGGGCAAAAGTAGGGCGAGAGATTTCTGTCAGGTTGTGTATTTGGAGTCTGTCTGTGATTGTTAACTGCCAGCGAGTCAGCTTGGGCTCAAGATGACCCCATGTGTGCAGAGTAGAAGAGCTGGGCTCCGTAGAGTTTTCAAGGCTGTGACCTTTGAGAAGCAGATTTTCAGGCCTGACTTCGGAGACCGCCAACCTTTTGGTTAGTAATCCAGCACTTAATCATTTGCCCACCCCGGGACATCTCTATGATATAAGAAGGTTATCGAGATAGTTTTGAAATGTATCTAACAGTTGTGCCAGATGCTATCCTTTTGTTTTGCTTTCTTTTTAAAATTAAAGCCGAGCAGCGCTGTGGAGGGATATCTGCCACCTCTCCCTTACTTGGTCCACCCCTCACAACACCTTCAAAAAAGGAAGCCAACACCTGTTACTCTGGTAAATTTCCCTTGATGAAACTCATGTGATTGTGCATTTCTGAATGTGCCCAGCTGCCTGATATGACTGCTGTCCGTGGGGCCGTCAAATGTCAGGTAGTCCTGCCTTTAAGGCCCTAACCACACAGAGGACGAAGACTTCCTCTCCCCAGCCTGCCCGGAGGGTCAGTGGCAGGGCTGTGGCCTGAATGAATGAATGAACCGATCAGTGAACAATGACCAACAGTTTTTCAGAGCTATGTGCCCGGCACTGCTCTCAGGGATTTTTGTAGATCAGTTCCCGTACATGGGGAGGGGAGGTCTAGCCAGGACCCTCTGAGGATGCGTGAATGCCTTGTCCTTCTATCTCAGGTCCTACTGGCTGGTTGTCTTCAAGCTTTGTAGCTGATTATCACAGTCAGAAGGTTGTAAAGTCGGAGACTCGGAATTCTGGAGTCACTAAGTAACTCAGGGATAGGTTGTTTACATCCAAGGAGGCAGGCCTGGAGGGTTTAAGAGGCCCGCTTGGTGTCACACAGCTGCTTCGCTGCAGAGTAAGGATAAGAATGCAGGTCTCCTGAGCCCGGTCCAGAGTTCTGCCTACTTAGCAGCCCTCTGCTCTCCTCCCTTCCCTGGGAGGACAGTGATGTTCGTCAACGCTGATATCATTTCTTCTTTATAGTCACATTAGTTGTATGTTAATGGTATTCATAAATTAACTATATGAATGAACAAAATTGACTGTATCAACATGCGTTAACATTAAGCTCCTTTTTCTCAGGTGTTTACCGTTGGTGTTAGACACAACGACAGCACCGTAACTCAGAAAACCCACGGCCTGGAGGCCCTTCAAAGACAGAGATCATGTCTTAGATCGCACTTTCCTTGGAGCTCCTGGGGCCATCCTGGGCACTTGTCACCGGTGGTTGAATTACCTGCCTGTCCCCAGCCACCGGTCCCCACGTCCTCAGCTGTCTAGCGCCCTCCTTGTCATTTCCTCTCTGTTCTGCAGCTGGAGAGGGAGGTGGACACACCTGCCTCTCTTTGCCTCAGCACCGTGCGGTCATTTCAGGCTTCGGCTGAAAGCACAGCCTCTTCTCCCTTGGGCCCGTGCCTTGTCACTTCTTCCTCTCCCTGCTCTTAGTTCTGTTCGGCACACTGTTATTGAACTCTGCAGGACAGCTTGGCACAGAGCTTGAGCCAAGGGGCTGTGGCACGCACTGCATTAAATCACTGAGTGACACCGTGTCCTTCTGCGATGGGTGTGGAGGGCGGGCGTAGGGACGCATCTTCATTTATTCCATAACTTTATTGAGTGCCTGGTACCTGTCAGCCACTGTCGCAGGTTCTGGGGTTACAGACTTGGATAAAACGAAGTTATTTTAATGGAGGGAGACAGAGACAGAACTACTAAAGATGTAATAGGTCAGCTGGTGAGGAGAAAACTAGAGCAGGGAAAGGGGGAGTGATGGAGAAAGTGCTGTTTTAGGAGGGAGTCTCGACAGGGTGACATTCATTCCTGAAGAGGCTTGGGGGTGAGCGTGGAAGCAGTATGGATATCTAGGGGAAGGGCTTCTAGGGTTCTAGCCAGGAAATACAGCAAGTCCAAAGGGTCTTGGGGCAGCAGCATGCCTGATGTGTTCAGGAACAGCAAGGAGGCGGCTGTGGCGAGCTGGTGTGGTCCGAGTCTTGTTTAACGGGGCTGCTCTGGTCGCTGCACGAACAGTCTGGAAGGGGGCAAGCACAGAAGCAGGGATCCAGGTAGAAGGCGATGGTGGTCCTCACGGTGAGGGGTGTTGGGGCTACAACAGGGCAGACGGGTGGGGGTGGAAGAAGAGTTCAGGTTCTAGATACATTCTGAGGGCTGAGACAAAGGGTTTTCCAGACAGTTGAATATAAGAATGAAAGGGAGAAATCAAAGGTGCCCCAAAGTTTCTGGCCTGAGCAACTGAAATAATGGGTTTACTGTTTCCCAAGACAAGGAGGCTGAGTGAAGAAGTGACCAGTCCCTGGTTCCGCTGTGAGAATAAGGATTCCCATCAATATTCAAATGTTCCTCGTCCCTTCATCCCTCGGGAGGAACACTCCATTCCTCCCATTTCTGTGTCTCCTTCCGTTCTCTCTTGAACCCATTCCAGCAGGCTTTCACTCACCTCCCTCACTCCACCCAAACTGGTCTTTATCAGCAGTGACCTCCGTGATGCCAGATCAATTCCCAGCCATCTCACACAAAACCTATGACCAGCACTGGCATAATCAGTACTCCCTGCTCCTGAAAGCACTTTCTTCCCTTGGCCTTTTCAAAAACCCCATTGCGTCCTTCTCCTCCTTCAGCCTTCCCCGTCCCAGCGGAGGGTGCTGTCCAGGAATGAGCACGTGCTAGGAAAAGCTTTCAGACCCGTGATAGAAAGGAGCACAGCTTTCCCATTTTATCAAAGGAATACTTAGGAAGTCTGTGTTCCTAAATATTCCCAGTAGTTGCCCTCGCCTGCCTCTTTGAAGGCCCTCGAGAAAGCCCTTATTTGAACTCTTTTATCACCTATAAAATGGGACACGTTACCGTGGAAGTCCGCTCTCAGTTACGGGGCCTGAAGTGAGACCAGAGCAGAGCTGCGGGGAGCAGAGCCACGTCAGCCGCTGCTGCCCAAGCCGCTCCCTCCCCCACCATCTGACCATGCACAGACGGACAGATAGTGGAAAGGTCTGTCTAGGAATGTAAAAAGTCACAAGATGTTCCGTGAGAAAACACAAAGCACCTTTTCTCACTTCAGCAACCTTGGTCAGGCCTGAGTCAAGGTGACACAATCACATCTATCTTAAGAGACGTTTTTAGCTTTGGCGAACAGGCTCGTGTTTTCCGAAAGGAAACATATTTCACTTGACCTTAATAAGAGGACTTACACCACCCTCTCTTCTCGCGCTTTACTCCGTGTTTTGTTTTGTGTTTTGAACAATATGTTTCATCTTCCCAGAGAGAAGATTGGCTCATGCACAAGTTGGAGTGCTCTCCCATGGTTGTTTTTGGGGAAAACTGGAACCCCTCAGAGACTGTCAGGCTAACAGCAAGGATTCTGGCCAAACAGGTGAGGAAATAGGACAGTGTTCAAGTGAATTTTATTATCTTTTCCTTAAAGGTCAGAAGATGAGTAACTGACCCGCGGTGGCCGTCTCTTGTTAAACATCCTGGACTTGTTTCCTAGGACATCCAAATGGATGAGGGGAGGAAAAAACTCCAAGGCTTCGGCTGGGTCTCTGTCTGCCTTATGCATTAGGACGCCGCTTTAGCCCAGGCCAGAAACATGGCCAAAACCAAAAAAAACCAAACCCGCTGCCGTCGAGTCAATTCCGACTCCAGGTGACCCTATAGGACAGAGTAGAACTGCCCCATAGGGTTTCCAGTGAGCGCCTGGTGGATTCGAACTGCCGACCTTTTGGTTAGCAGCTGAGCTCTTAACCACTGTGCCACCAGGGTTTCCGAAACATGGCCAGGAGGATGAAATTCTGAGCTTTTGTGGAGACAGCTTTGCATTGAAAAACACGGCCTTTCAAGGCGTGAAAAATCTGACTCAAAATTCGGGTAGCCGTCTGGTCTGAGAAGCTTTTGGCTTTTTCCCACTTTGTGTCACAGAGCATGCCCCTGTCCCTGCAGACGTTCTTCGCTCCCTGCGCCCTTCCTTACTTGCCCTTGCAGGAGCAGGCAAGGCACTGGAAGTGACACCCGGGATAGCATGCAAAGGGACGAGAAAGGGTGGAAAAGTAGACACAGAGCAATGGGGAGGGGGAGAAAGAGGTACCCTTGGTGGGGACAGACGATAAGCATCAACAGTCTTAGCCATACAGGTGTTAGGACTGAACACTGCTCTCCTTGCTCTGTGACTAACTAGTCTCCCCCTTTCCTGGCTAGTACTCACTGATCCCAAGATAATTACAGTCACCTGGTCTCTGGAAGGACCGAAATGAAGAGAGGATGGGGAAATGTCATAGGACTTGTCCGTGTGTGATGCAGTGAAATAAGCTGCCTGAAGCTTAGCAAAAACCAAACCCACTGCCGTCAAGTCAGTTCCAACTCATAGCAACCCTACAGGACAGAAAAGAACTGCCCCAAATGGGTTTCCAAGGCTGTAAATCTTTACGGAAGCGGACTGCCACGTCTTTCTCCCGCGGAGCCGCTGGTGTGTTCCAACTGCCAACCTTTCAGTTAGCAGCTGAGCATTTGACCACTGCGCCACCAGGGCGGCCGCCTGGAGCTTACAGGGCTGTCTTCACGGAGGCTCTCACTGATAAGAAGAGGGTGGGGCCAGGCCTCTGTACTGTAAACGCTTTCAAGCTAGAATTTCGTTCACCTCTTCCCTACACCTACCTCCTCCTCAGTCCTTGGAAGTGTTCTCTCATGGGATTGTCATGATGAGCGTGTATCTCTCCCCAGACCAAGTTAGAATCCTGGGCTGCATCAACAGAGGGAGAGCATTTCAGAAGCCTGAGGTCATCATTCCACTATATTCAGCTCAGGTCAGATGCTTTCTGAAATGCCACTTCGCCAGCTCGGAGTAACCAGAGCCACTGAAGGTTCCTGTAGAGTGAGCCCATAAAGTCAGAATCGTGTTGCCTGAAGGAGGAGCAACTCACTTTCAGATCCTCAATAGCAGTTATCTTTAAATAGATGCAGAGTATTTGGATAGACGGAAAGGGCCAGGGGCAACGGGGTGACCGGGCCATTGTTGGGTGAGCATGTTGCGGTAAACAAGCCAAGATATTAGCTCTGTCAGCGTCGTGGGAGGGTTGGGCGAGCCCAATCTGCTGGTTCTTTTTTTTCCCCCTTCAACTTCTTGATGTTATTTATAGTGTTGTGGTTAAGAGTTGAGAAGAACCTGGTGTACTTTCCGGAATGGAAAGCTTCCACAGACAAGATGACTTCTTAGTCTTGTAGAGATGCGTCCTGGGAATGGAAGATTTCCTGTTGCACAAAGAACTATGGAAAGGTTCTGGCACCTCTAGGGGGTCTGAGTGTGCTTATGAGTTGATACGAGTTTCATTCAACTTTTAACATAATTACTTCTACTGCTAATAGTCAATTTAAATGAAAAGTTACCTGACCATCTTTTCATCTCCACAGGAATCGATGATTAAAAAACCAGACCATTTGTATTGTAGGGGCTTGCAAAGGATTGGGGGGGACAGGCTACCAGGCTACCAAGGGGAAGCTGAACACATTACCCAGGGAGGGGGGTGCACCCTGCGAGGCCACCTGTATCCCCAAGCTGAATAGCCAGATTACAAAGACGTGGCCTCGGGCCAGCTCGCCAGCTCTGCCTTTGAACTCTTGTCAACACCGAGTTTATTCATGTTCTCAAAGCCTGGCGGGTTTACTATTGTTCGCTGCTCTTGGGGTGTCTCCAACAAAGCCAGAAACACGTTTAAAGTGAATCTGGGCTCCCAGATACAACCAAAAGGGTCTTTTTGAAACAGAATTTGAGATCATTTTAGCCTATGCTTAAAGAAAGTGTAAAATAGATGGGTTTGATTTGGTTCCTTTTTAGAAGGAGAAATAATAAATAGGATGGTTGTCTGTAGACACAGTCCTTTTAAGTAAGGGCCCTAAAAGTTGTTTTCCAGCCCTCATTCATTCCCATAACAAGCATTTTTGAGCCTACTGTGTGCATAACATTGTCAGGGTGTTAGGGACGCGGTGGAGAGCAGGCTCGCAATGGGGACACTTGAAAAGCATTTTAACAGAGGGTTTTGAATTTGGATGTTGGGCAAACACTCTCACGGCCCAAACTGTGGGCTCCTTGGATAGCTTTCTTTACTTCATTGAGTAATATCAATATACTGTTTCTTTCTCTTTTTTCCTTCCTGTTGATTAAAAAGTGAAAGCCCTACTTTTTTCACTCATCGGTAAACTCTGCATCTGTGTGATTTTTTCCCCAATTACTAGAAAATCCACCCAGAGAGAACTCCGTCAGAGAAGTTGTTAGCTGTGAAGGAGTTTGAATCACGTAAGTCGGACAACCATATGCTCTTCTGCCGCCAGCTGAGGAGTTATTTATCCATCAATGTAACGGGGACTAGGCAGAATTGAAGAAAGAAAGGGATGGTTTGTGCACTGGGGAGCGGTGGTGATATTTTTAATTACTCGTTTTTATTTTGGCTCGTGTGCTATTTTGGAAAATGATTTTATTTAACTCTTTTCCTGATTTGACAGGGTTACCAGGAAATAATTAGGGGGAGGTAGGACCTCCCAAGGTGAAATATTGCCTCCCTAAGTGTCTCCTGCTGGCCTGCCGAATATGTTTGGATCTTTGCTGATTTGCAGTAGCGTAAACAGCTGGTGTCCTTACTGGAAGACATGAGATCAGGGGCTGCCTAGTTACTTGACAGCGGCAGGGACTCCGGGCCACCTGTGAGCCCTGGATGGGCTGAGGCTGCTTATCAGTCATTCCCACTCATTCCTGGCCTCACGGCTAGTGGTCAGTTGAAATTTCAAGTCCTGAGTGACTTCTAGTTTTCAGAGGGAGGGAGGACAGACGAAATGGCATGTTTTTGTTACCCTGGGGTTTGCCACCTAGGTGAGCGCTGGCTAGGGGCTGTCTGTGTCAGTTACAGGAAGAAGAGATGGAGGTAGCCAGGAATCCTGGGTTTCACTCTGGTGAGTGATGGATTTGATTGTCTCCCCACAGATCTGGATAAGTTAGACAGTGAGAAGAAAGACTTGATCCAGAGTGACATTGCTGCTCTCCATCACTTTTACTCCAAGCACCTAGAGTTTCCCGACACTGAGAGCCTGGTAGTGCTTTTTGCACAGGTAAGAATGCCAGCCTCAGGTTACGCGTCCTCTCTGAGCCCTGTCCCAGCATGCACTCAGTGAAGATAAATAGAAATAGAACGAAGGCGTCCACTTGATGACAAGGCTGTTGAGGTGTTGAACCTATTTGCCGCAGCCCTGCTAGGTGATCTGCAGCCGACCCACTTCCTCTCTGGGCTGGTCCTGCTCAATGACCTGAGCACAGAAAATGTGCTTCTGCCTCAAACAGGTCATGGGAACAAATGAGCGGCCAGTGACCCAGTTCTGTTGCCTATTTAAAAAAAAAAAAAACCCCATTGCCATTGAGTCGATTCCGGCTCACAACGACCCATGTGTTAGAGTAGAACGGCTCCATAGGGTTTTCTTGGCTGTGATCTTTACAGAAGCAGATCGCCAGGTCTTTCTTTTGTGGTGCTGCTGGGTGGGTTCGAACCACCAACATTTAGGTTGCTAGTTGGGCACAAACCGTTTATACCACCCAGGGACCATTGCATGCTTTCAGCTATTTGCAAAGAAAAGACCATTTGAAGTTTAAAAAAAAAAAATCTGTTGCCATCAAGTCGACCATCTGCAGTTACTATATTAAATTTCAGAGCCCTGGTGGTGCAGTGGTTAAGAACTTGGCTGCTAGCCAAAAGGTCAGCAGTTCGAATCTACCAGCCACTCCTTGGAAACCCTATGGGGCAGTTCTACTCTGTCTTATAGGGTCGCTATGAGTCGGCATTGACTCGACTTTTATATGGACAGAGATTTATATGTAAGTTGGGTTTATATGCAACTTTTTTTTAAATATATATTAAATTTTACTTTTCGTAAGTCTGCCATTCTGACAGAAAATATCTTCCCGTCTGTTTTTTTTTCTTCCCCCTGGACTTCTACCAACACTGTGTTGATAAAACAGAGACTACCTGGGTCCCCCCCGAGGGTGGCTCCCCCTACCGCCCAGGAAGGACAGTTGTTACAGAGAGGAGCCCGGGTGTATCTGGGAGTGGGACATCTTTCCTGGCGATGGCTAAGAAATCTTGTTTAGAGAATCCCAGGTTCACCAAAATCAGAAATAATGAAAAATTAGACTTCCAAACAAGAGTAACTTAAAAGTGACTAAAGAACTGGAAGGGCTCAGGCTCGGGCATTGCTGAGACGCAAGGGGGAAGGCCGCCGTGGTCTCTATCGGCTGCAGTGGGTCTGGCTGCGTCCATCTTCCTGTGCCTTGTCAGGGTTGTTCCTGCCAACCCGACCTGCTAGATGGTAATTCTGTCCCTCATACACGCACGTGTGTTCCCTGCCAGCTGAGCACCTTGCTGAAGGTGGCCTTCTCAGACGGGATATTGGGATACTGTTCCACGGATGCAAGGAGCTGCATTCCCCTGCCAGCACCTTCAGTCTGTCAGCATGTATGCGTTTGGTTAGATCCTGTGAACAGCTATTTTTTTGTTCTTTTTTTTTTTTTTTTCCCCTGAGAAGAGAGTGGTGTCGCCTATGTATGCTTTGACGCAGTTAATTCCATTTCCAGGAATTTGTCCTGAGGAAATAATCAGAGATTATGGACAGAGATTTATATGCAAGTTGGGTTCTTCTAAAAGCCCCAAAAAAGAGGGGAAATATTAAAAATGGCCAGCACTGGTGGATTGGTTAAATAAATTATGACAGAGCCATATGATGGTGGAAAGTTACGTAACCTTTCGAAATTGTTCCAAAGACGTGGGAGAATGATGATATAACATTCATTGTATAAGCAGGATGAAAAATGTGTGTGATAGGAAAACAGACATTTGCAATTAAAAACGGTTAAGTGGAAGTTCACAGTTATCTTCTGAACTGTGGGGAAAATCTGTTTTTTTTTTGTTGGTAATTTTCCACAATGAGCATGTGTAACTTTAACAAAATACGAGAAAGAAGAAGGCAAAAAGCACTTATAATCCTACCACTTAAAAAAATTACACCTATGAAGAAAGAAGTCAAAAGGCAAAATGGACTCAAGTTGTGACTGTGAAGTGAAAAGTAATAAAATACCTTCCTGATTTTCATAGAATTATCCTGGGTTTATACCATGCTTCCTAAGGGTCCTGAGACACTGGATTTGGGTGACGGAAAGCTGAAGAATTGACTCCTCTTAAAATTTTTAAGAGGTGGATACTGGATTTATTTTTTTCTGGATTGGATAAGGCACAGTTATGTGAGAAAGCAGGAGAGATGAATAAGTGGAAGGCGTCTTCTCTTCCCTCCTGTGAGACAGCTAGCTTTTTCTCCAGCACAGTAATCCGGCGTGCTTTCAGGATTTCTCCGTGTTGCTGTGGAGATACGGGACCATATTTTCACACCTAAAATCAACATTTGATCCCACAAGTAGAAGTGCGTTTGTGGGGAAAATGACTCAGTCTTTGAAGTTTGGACTGACTCAGAAAATCCTGTGTATTCTTGGTATTTACTGTGGCTGTATTCTCTAAAGCCACCTCCAACACTGAATCAGCAGGTACTGAACTCTCATTCCTAAGAGCCACGAAGGTTAGGTTCCTGCCAACTTCTTATCACGGTATTTTTGTCAGCCGATCAATACCTAACCTTTTTCATGTGTGTTTCTATTTAAAGACGCCTCGTACACTGTTGATCCATTAACCCTGAACTGACATCAGCAGGGCTATAACTCACGCCAGAATGAAGCTTACCTAACTCACTCATTTTCTCCACGAGGCACACACATCACAGCCTTCTCCCTCTTAGGAAGACAGACGCACTCCTGCACTATGTTTGGGGGTGATTTTAAGCAGTGAAATAATCAACAAAAAGCATAAAAATGCAAAAAACCTGGCACAAAATAGACCGTGAGAAGGACACGTGTTTACAGTGTAAGGGCTGAAACAAGAAGGCTGAGCGTTGGCTTGTTCCACCTCGGCTGGGAACACGCGTGTTGGGCGACTCGAATTTTTCACCACTCCATGCCTTTTGCAAATGATGCAAAAGTGCAAAAGTGCCACAAGCATTGAGTTTGGGGTTACAGATAAATTTTAGCAAGTAAGCGAATTCACAGGGAGCCCGGGTGGTGCAACGGTTAAATGCTTGGCTGCTAACCTAAAGTTTGGCAGTCTGAACCCACCCAGTGGCTCCTCAGGAGAAAGACCTGGCAATCTGCTTTCGGAAAGATTAAAGCCAAGAAAACCATGTGGGGCAGTTCCGCTCTGTCATGTGAGGTTCTTGTGAGTTGGAATCAACTTGTGGCACCCAACCACACCAACAGGCAAATTCGAAAACATGGAATCTGTGAATTATGAAGACTGACTGTAATGCCTTTATAGACTTTATATTTTTATGTGTCAAGCCATAGTATCCATTGATTGTGGTGTGTGGGTGTGCATACACACGCAGGCACACACAAAGACATCTTTTTTATATAAATTTCAAAAGAGGCTTTCAGTATCCCCAAAGAAAACTCAAAACAAACCAAAGAAGGGCTACGCCAGCACCATGCCACCCTCTGGTGCTGCCTCTGAGCACCCAGCTGCGTTTGTCTGTTCCAGCCTCGGTTCTTCCCTCTCTCTGGTCACGGGAGGGGTTGTGGGTGAGCTGTGGCCCAGCAGTGGCTGGCGGCATGTGTGGGTAGCTGCACTCCTGCGACAGCATCAAGGTGCGTTTTAATCCCCAGGAACATATGCGTGTCTGGGAAATGTATGTTTGGGATGCAGCCTCCATCTAGTCTAAGTGCTGATTATGAGAATAGGTTTAGCAAGGCACTTACGCCTGATTTGACTTGAAACAAAGGACTATGGCCCGGGCATCTTCCTTAATATGCGAGTTCACTTGTCTTCTCCAGGGATATCTCAAAGGGAGGGGAAGCCGGCAAGCAAATTGCTATGCATTGTGGCTTAAACACCATCACCACCTCCCAGAAAGGGACAGTAATGACACTTGTGCTCACGGGACCTTTCCTTACGAAGAAACACGCAGACACTTCCCGAGGAAGAGGAGGAGGAAGGAGAGGCGGTGAAGGGGCTGATGGTCATAAACACTCGTGTTGGAAGGACTCTGGAGTCAGAGAACTGACCCATTGGGCTGGCATCAGGGAAGGAGACTAAGAAGCACCCACCCCGCCCCTGCAAAAGCAGTGTAGGGGCGGTGTCTGACCTCCTCCCGCCTCGCAAAGGGGAAGGAGAACCAAGATCAACAGCCCAAGGCTGACTCCCATGAGGCAGAGGCCAGACAAGCCTCCTCTCTGCTGTCTTTACCAAGTCTGACACCAGCTGTCGCCCCCCCACAGCGCTCTCTGCTTCTCTTCTGGGTTCGATTATTCATTGCAGTGGCCACACACAACTCACAGAACATACTCACGATTATGGGGTTTATTAGGGAGGTGCCAGTTACACTTCAGGCTCAGGAACACTCAGGATACAGCTCTTCCGTCAGGACAGCCTCTCCCTAGGCATGCCCATCTCCTGCTGCGGGTCTCTCCTTCCTGGGTGGCGGTAGGATCCTCCTCTCTGCTATGGAATCGGCTCTCTTAAGGAAAACTGACCAATCACACAACACCTGGGTGGGAGTTACACGCCCCTGGCTAGAAAGTCCACACACAAAAGTAATTAATCACACCACACCCCCACAACCCTAGAATTAATCAGGAGCTGTCTGTACCTAGATCAGTTTTGAAAATTGTTGCTAAAATTCTCTCATTATTTTCATTCTGCAAATGTTTATTGTCATCTTACAGGCACCAGACGCCACTGAATCGCACTCATATCCGTTCTGAGATTGTATATATGTAGATATATATATATGTATATGCTCGTTCCGTACCTGCGGGGGTGCTGGACACGTAACTGGTGTGACAGTAAATTTTCTTAAATCCTGACTTACTCTCACCTGATGCTGGTTGATGGTCATTGGCTAGTGGTCATTGATCAGTGTCCTGAACACAGAATAGGTCAGGGTGCCTTTACGTCTTAGATGGTACAAAGACTAATGGTATGCTGAGTCTTCTACTTAGAAACGCCCAACTCCTGGGGTGTCAAAGGCTGTGACTTGTTCACTAACGTGCAGTCACCTCCCCTTTCCCTCTCTGTGTCAAGCCATCACAGCCGTTACTGTCATGTGGAGCAAGGTCTCCAAGCCTTCACCATCGCCCATTCATTTTAAGTAAAACAAGCCGCATCAGCATTGGGTCAACCAGAACAGCTTTAGGAGAAACGTGGAATGGTGTGAGGAGACCAGGCTAGGCTGTCAGAACGTCTAGTTTGAATTCTGACTCTTGTTCTGCCTTGTATGGCCTTGAAGAAGTCACTTATCGTTGACCTTCACCGAGCCTCAGTTTCCACGTCTGTAAAATGGGTTATAATGATGCCAAGCGCAGTGTGACGGGCTTACCTGTTGCCTTTGAGTCGATTCCTACTCACAGCAACCCCATAAGACGGAGTAGAACTGCCCCATAGGGTTTCCTAGGAGCAGCTGGTGGATTCAGATTGCTGACCTTTTGGTTAGTAGCCCTAGCACTTAACCAGTGCACCACCAGGGCCCCATTACCGGCTTAGAAGGTGGTAAGTGCACAGCATGTAGCTGAGCTTCCAGCCCTGAGGGCATGCTTAGCAGATGCTCATTTTAAAAAGCCCATCTGTGGACCTGAAATGTACCAGCGAGGGGTCTCCAAGTGTGAAGAGAGCATTCCTGCCTGGCAGACAGAGCCCTCCCAGCACTGGGGGACAAGCAGGGGTCTCCGCCTTTGCCTCCTACTCGCTTTGTGACCTCGGGCGTCACCGCTCCTCGCTGGACCTCGGTTGCATCATCCGAAATGGGAAGAGAGAAAGTTCCCATCCAGCTCTGAAATTTTAGATGCGTGTGGAGGACGCCCACTGAGCTGTCTCCCAGTAGCCTGGGTGCCCCTGAGGGCACAGATTTTGGCCTGTTCATCTTTCTGTCTGCAGTGCCTGGCACATAAAGACTCTCAATAAATGTCTGTGCAAGGAATGGATGTATAGAACAGTCTAGAATTTGAGGATGTGTATTCCTCATTTTATGGAGCCCTGGTGGCACAGTGGTTAAGAGCTCAGCTGCTAACCAGAAGGTCAGTGGTTTGAATCCACTGGCTGCTCCTTGGAAGCCGTTCTGCTCTGTACTGTAGAGTCACTGTAACTTGGAATCGACTCGACGACAACAGGTTTGGTTTGGATTCCTCATTTTCAGCCTAGTTAGCTCTAAGGTGGACTTCCAAAATGGTCAGGGTAGCCCTTGATATTGTTCCATGCAACATTTTCTTTCAAAGGATGATCAAGTGGCTGGTGGTTGGTTTGGCTGAGATGTGAACCACAAGGTCTTGGTTCCTGAGCTTCAGGCCCTCAGTCGGTCTGCCTCTTGAGGAGATGGACAGTCATTGGATGAGATGGATAAGGGCTTTTGCATTTAACACCTCACTTTATGAGATAGGCACTGGATTAAGTGGCTCCTTTTTCAATGGGAGAAAATCGAAGAGTGAGGGGCTCGATGAGAGCTCAAGGGTCAGACAACAAATCTGTGGCATGATTGGGACTAGACTTCAGGTACCCTAACTCCCATGCAGATACACAGACTTCATTCAGTCCACGGAGCCTTGGGGGCCCAAGTGCATTCTTAGAGCACTGCATGTAGTTGGGTGAGTAGGCGAGACTAGAGGTGCGTCAGTCCTAACCGTCTGCATTTATTTGTTTACACATGGGACTGATGGCCAACTTGTGTTTGTAAAAAGGATACCGTGGCCAACAAGAAAGATCTTAAAACCGCTAAACCAGAACATCTTCCTGGTTAATTTGTTAAAGGTCAAAATTAAAGAAATGATTCCTATCCAGCAAGAAGCTATAGCTCATTTTTTAAATCTTTCTTTCTCCCCCTTTCTCACGCAGGTTAACTGTAATGGCTTCACAATTGAAGATGAAGAGCTTTCTCATTTGGGATCTGCAATATTTCCTGAGTAGGTTGAGTTTGACTTCCTTTCTTTCTTTTTTTTTTTTTTTAAACTGATTTAACATTGATTTGATTTTTTTGATATTTAAGTCACACACCTCGTTGCATGTGGCAGACATGACACTCCAAGTGAATTGATACAGCTTTTTAATTCTGTCAGATTTCAAAATATTACCCCTACACTTAAGGCTGTGAAGGGAGTGGTTAAGAGAACAGTTGCTTGTTAAGTCCTGCCAGGCAAAGAACTGCTGTTAAAGAACATTTTATAGTGTGCTTAGAATAAACAGCCTGTGTCCTGCTGAGATATTTGCTTTCTGCATATCTGTGCTCCTGGAAATCTTCGGGTTTTTTATACTCCATGTGAAGCATTAATCGCCAGCCAAGAACTGGCCGTAGGTTTGTGTGGAGAATGTATGAAGGTCTTCTCCATCTCTCCTTTTGGAACAACACCAGTCCAGAAGTAGCAGTTTGGAGGGAGGGTGATGACCTGGAGAACAGTTCCCAAGAACGGTAGGGTTTTTCCCTCTGCTTTAGGAGTACTCAGGTAATTCAAGGACCGCTAGCTGGTTGACAAATGGAGATGGTTGTAGCTCTGACTTTAACGGAGCACCAAGAAGACTTTGCTGTGGTCTCTGTGATGGAATGGCTATTTCCAAAATGCTTCAGTCCTTTAAAATCTAATCCTTGCTTCCTAGATGGAGCAAAGGAGCCCTTCCTGCGCCCTGTGTGTGAGTTAATCCACACTGCGGGTCAGTCCCACGCAAAGCAGCGTTGCTGTCTCTACGAGAGAAGCCCCGCTTTTGGCTGCAGCCCATGTGGGGGACCCTCATCACCCGCCTGCTCGCCATGGGTGAAGGGTTGGCTCCTCTGTGCGGCAGCCAAGCTCCGTGCACCACACGGGTCAGAGAGACAGAAGGATTTGGCCAGGGGTGTGTCACGTGGGCAGCTGTTTCAGGCTCCGTTGAACCCGAGGAACAAAAAAGTTTACTCACCTCCTATTACTGTCCTCGGGGCCACCATGGTGTCATCTGCAGTTTGAATTCTGATCGCGAGGAAAGCAGTGTTTTTTAGGGGAGGCTCTTAGGGATTTCTGCCTTTGGGAAAAGGAAAGTGAAGCAGACAGTGTGGGGGCCCTCTGTCCATAGGAGGCACATGGTGACAATCCAGCGCTGACACGGGCTGGGAGGTCTCTGCTCCCAGTGTCCACTTGGTTTCCTGGGACTGCCAGAACAAAGCACCGTGAAGTGGGTGGCTTTAGTGAGCAGAAATTTATTGTCTCACAGTTCTGGGGGCCAGAAGTCCACATTCAGGGCGTGGGAGGGCCGTGCGCTCTCTGTCGGCGGGGGGATCCTCTCTTGTCCCTGTCAGCTCCTGCGGCCCCACGTGTCCCCTGGTTGTAGGGGGTCCTCACGTGCTGTCTCACCCCCTGTGTACGTGTTTCTGTGTCTCTGTCCTTTTCTTGGAAATTAGGATTAGGTCCCGGACAGAGCGGGAGATACGTGTAGAACAAAAAATTAAATTCGCAAAAAAGACCGAACTTACTGGTCTGACAGAGACTGAAGGAACCCCCGAGACTGTGGTCCTAAGACACCCTTCTGAACTGGAACTGGAGCCATTCCCAGAGACCACCTTTCAGCCAAACCACAGACAGGCCCATAAAGTAAACAATACGCCTGAGAGGAACGTGCTCCTTAGAACAATCAATGATACAAGACCCGAAAGGACAACATTTGCCCAAAAGCAAAGATGAGAAGGCAGGAAGGGGTAGACGATCCCGATGAAAGGAGACAGGGAGCCCAGGACGGAAATGCTGACACACGGAGGGGAACGAGCCAATGTCGTGGAACATTTATGTACAAATTATCGAACGCAAAACTGATCTGCTACTGTCAACTTGTACATAAAGCACAATAAAAAATTAAAAAAGAAGAAATTAGAGTTAGGACCCACCCTACTCTGGTGGGACTTCTTAACTTACTGATAACATCTGCAAAGAAAAGCCTTGTTGCCCCAAACGAGGTCACAGCCACCAGCAGAGGTCAGGGCTTCACACATCTTCTTTTCGGAGGGACACAATTGAGTCCATAACAGAAGCTCAGACTAAAAGTAGGAAGAAGAGGGGTGTGTTCTGAGGTTCTGTCCTTTCTGTCACCTGCCATGAGAATCGTGGCAGCACGAACACAAGCAGTCTCAGGCCCTTGGCCTTCCTGCACCCCCCTCCCCTTAAAGCGACCCCATGAGTCTGCCCTGAAATGAAGTACTCAACACATCTTCCATACCATGGGTCTAGGGGCCTGCTTTTCCTGGAATAAAACCACCTTCCGGGTGCATTGATTGACTAGATTCCTAGGGCCTGGTTCTCCCCGAGACACTTGCCAGCAAGTCAGGTGGGCTATAGTGCAGGTCCGTGAGGACCAAGACAGTGACATCATAGTGCAGGTCCCCCAGGACCAAGACAGTGACATCATAGTGCAGGTCC